AATGTTGCACTCTGCATTGGGCAAAAGCCCACAAATCATCGCATGCTGGTGTTTGCCAAGATGTATGTTCAATTTATTGCCGTAACACAATAGCTCTGATACTAAGAATAATCAGCCGACCAAATGGATTTCAAAAAACCGTTTAAGAGAAAGGTATTTTGGGATGATTTTACATTTATTTACGTAAAGTTATATATATATGTGTGCATGTGCATGTATTCTCAAGTTCAATGTGTATGTGTGCCTGCATCATTAATTCATCCCAAAAGAATGAGTTACTTAGTTGTAATACCCAATTTATATCAGTAATAGTTATGTTTATAAATAAAACTATTAATGTATTCTTTTGTATAAGAAGCAGCTAATAATCTACCATAGAATTCACTGACATTAAGTTTTTAGATAATCAACAGTTATGTTATAAGGTATTTTCTCCCTCCTTTGTGCATGCCTTCGTGGTGGAAGGGTTAGCACACTCGGCGCATATTCGAGAGGTCCAGGTTCGAATCCCGGCGAGGGCATTGCATTTTTTCTCCGTTTCCTACTTCAAAAAACCCTAATTTCTCTACAGTGGCACCTGAACTTTTCTCCAGCCCACTCAGCGCATATTCGAGAGGTCCAGGTTCGAGTCCCGGTAAAGGCATTGCTCATTTTCATGTTTTCTGCTACAAAACTCTTAATGGCTCTACAAAGCCTTATGCCAATAAACTAACTAGAAAATAATTTTTAATTTACTTGTTAAAGATTTTTGCTTAAAATGTCTATATTAGTCTACCTTTATAATTCTTAATAAAAGCCTTTGAAAATTATTAGTTATTATGCAAAAATTGTGTTAAGAAATAAACTGAAACGCTTAAACTGAATTTGGAGATATTAAGATGTGTAACACTGTAATACTTAAACTGAATTTCAGGTTTTTATTACCCCGCGATGAATGAATTCGAGAAAGAGAAACTGTTTAAAATTTAGAAATTTACTTATGGTACCTAAACCAATACGAAATTTTCCGGCAGGAGATGGAAAATGCAGTATAAAGCAAGATATTATTTTAATTTATTATTTATTTGGTCATTACTTTTATAAATACAAATTATGTATCTAATATTTCTTAACTGAATACTCTTTTTAGAAACATATGAATATTTAAATTTACCTTTTTTCTGTGAAAAAAAAAAATCTGTCTCAAGGTATACTTTTGTATGCAGGTAACAGCATAACATAGTATTCGAATTAATAAGATATCTGATCACAAGTTTTTAATTTAAATTTGTGGTAACTTTACTCAGTTTACAATATTTTTGCTATCACAGTGTTTTTCTAGCTAAATAATTTCACTGGGGAAAAAAAAAAAAAAAAAAAAAAAAAAACCACCCTTCTCTCAGCGTTTTTTTGAAACAACTATAAAATTTTATTAATTCTATGCGGTACCTCTGCTATAATTAGGTTTTATTATGTAGTATTTGTAAATTTTTCCGTGTTATTAACCTTTTAAAACCGCAAAATTCTCAGTGGACATTTGGTACAATCTCAAAAGTTTTTTTACCGGCACTGAAACATGTTTTGTTTGGAAATAGAGTGTAATTGTATTTGTGTATCAGTTAATTGCTTTAAGAAATTGCAGACAGAAATTTTAGGTGTTTTATTGTCGATAACCGTTACTGATGGCAATAATTTATATTGTAATATCAGCAATCATGCGATTTTGGTAATTTGCTCTTGACATTTCAGTTCCACGAACATTTATTAGCCCAAAGGAGCGTTAGCCCAGAAGGACTATTAGTTTCAAAACGGGATTTTGCATTGAATCATTAGGAAAGTCTGAATCACTTTTCAAATTGCTGCCAACAAATACTATCTCCCTCTATTATATTTAAAAATAAGTAACGAAGAATTTGCACCAATGATATGCATTTTTTTCGCATTGTGAAAAAACAATGATACCTAGAACCATCAAATTTTAAATAACGTAAACTTCCACCCGAATACGGGCAGCTGGGAACTGGAATTTCGATTTTTCTTTTATCTATTTCATATTTTATTTTAACGAATTTTTGACAAACAAACTCAACGATTTCAAAGTGAGCAGTGGCAACACTGTATGGAATAAAACATTTTTATCTTCGGCGCGCGAAACTGTCTATCGGAAATTTTAACGATATGCTGTTTCTAAATATTTTGTGACTTTGCTGTTGAATCGAAATTTATGTGACGTAAGTGCCAAGAACGTGATATTTAATAAATAAAGTAAACACGCAAAACGTTAATAATAAAAATACAAAAAAAAAGTTTTGTAAAGACATCTTAGTAAAAAACTTAGCATTGATATGATGAACTCAGAAAAGACTGGGTAAAAAAAATGTATGCCAAACACTTTAACGAGCATCGGGAATATAAGCAGCAAGTATACTACTATGCTGCTTATAAAATTTTTGTAATTTTGCTGTTGAATTGTATTTAGTGGTAAGTACGAAGAAACTGATGATTAAAGCTAAAAAGACGAAAAGGGGGGGGGAGTAAGTGTAACAGCAGACTAGTACACAGTTAGCTCCGCGAGAGATATTTTTAATAAAATTTTCTTAAGCAATTTTTAATAAAATTAAAATTTTAATAAGACATTTTCATAAGGTTCGTGTCAAGTTATGAAGTTTTTCTCCCACTTTTCTTGCGTGCCTTCGTGGTGTAGTGGTTCTGCACGCTGGGCCGGTATTCCAGAGGTCCGTGGTTCGATTCCCGGCGAAGCCGTTTGCTATTTTTCATCTCTCCAGTTTTGCCAATTAACCTAATGTCTCTACAGTGGCGCCCGAATTAAAGGGGTGTTGGATGTTGTCCACATCCAGGATTTGGCGATTGAGTCCCCTGGAAACCACAGATCGCCCTATAAAAAGATGAGTATATAAGGTATTTCTCCCACTTTCCTAGCGTACTTTCGTGGTATAGTGGTTTTGCACGCTGGGCCGGTATTCCAGAGGTCCGCAGTTAGATTCCCGGCGAAGCGTTTGCTATTTTTCATCTCTTCGGCTTTTCCAGTTAACCTAATGTCTCTACAAAGTACGAAATCACAAGGAATTTCGTGCAAAGCAATGATGAATATGCTAATTAGATAATGATTAATTGGCTTATTGTTATGTAAAGGCGCTCTTAAATATGAATATTATTATTTCGAGTATTCCACAAATTCAAGAAACTCTAATTCAACATTTAATGATCTTACGTAGTTTAATAATACGTGATGTTGTGCCTTTTATTTTGATATGTAATAACTAAAACAGACATAAAAATGAAATTCCAAAGCGATATATGCAAGCCTTCTCAAATCTTAAATCAGCTGCATAGTCTAAATCAGGTACTCTCCAAGAAAGACTCGCAAGCAACTACGTGGTCGCATCAAAATTACTGAGCGTGGCAAGAGCATTTAAAAATTTTATTTTAAAGAATAATTAAGTATTTAAGGTTCTTTCTTATTTAAAAATGTAGCATTGCTTGTTTGACTGAAAACAGCAAAGTACACGAGGTATTTCGTCGTGAAGGAATTTTCAAGGAAAATTTTATTTTAAAGAATAATGAAATATTTAAGGTTCTTTCTTATGTAAAAATGTAGCATTGCTTGTTTGACTGAAAACAGCAAAGTACACGAAGTATTTCGTCGTGAAGGAATTTTCAAGGAAAATAAAGATAAGGAGAGTTAGCATAAAATACTTCGTTTAGTGATATGTTCGAAATTATCTCAAGACTTTTAAACTTTTTCGTATTTCTTCTTACATCTTTTTTTCTTCGTCTTTTTTTATAATTTTTTTTAATTAAAGAACGTAAGCCAAATTATTTATGTGCAATTTACAAAAGTTCAGTTTTTTATTTAAGTGGAAATTCCTCACGGAAATATTAAGAGGATAACGAGTAGCGAAAAAAAATATCGGAAGGTAAAAATATTAACAGAAATGTGCAGAAATACTCTCATATTTCAGCAGCAACAAAATTTTTATTTAAAAATATATTGTTTGAGTTGTGGTCTGCTTGTTATTTCTATATGTATCAGTATTATGCAGAGTATCTGAAAATTATTGAAAAACAGACTTTTAAATGACGTGAAAAAATATAAAATGATACTTGTTTCTCACAAGTAGAGACAATATAGTTTTGAACTGAACTCCACTGAAGGTGCTAGCTATCTTTCTCAATGAGATGACCTTATGATTGGAAAGATCTTAAAAATTAGCAAAAAGCATAGAAATTATGTCCGTTACAACACATAGCCATATATGTGTTATAGTTAGCTCAGTTTATGTCAGTTTCTAAAGTTAATTATTGAGCTGCGACATTCTTTTAACAAATTTAACTAAGCGATGGATGAAAGTTTAAAGAAATAGGCTGTGCAGCACATCATGGAGGAACTGGTTGACCTACTGTCAGTGCAAAAATGGTCAAATGTGTGCGTGAAAGCTTTCCCACGAAGTTTTATTTTTTATTTATTTTTTTTTATTGCAAGCAAAGATGTGGGTACACAGAGATGTGGGTGTAAACAGTAACACATCCATTTATAACAGTACTAATCAGGACAGGTGCTAGTCTTTTGCAAATTCTACAGCTTTTAAATTCTGCCGCCAGTTGCCTCTCTAAATTTTAAATATTGTACAGCCCCTAAATTTTGCAACCCTCTGTGGCCACACTAGTTGCACCGGCGCTGAAGGTAATAAAATTTTTTCAAGTTCATTTATATGATTGGGGGGGGAAGGAGACAGAAATCAAAACGAATTATTCAGCCACTGACTAAGCGAATATTTAGAGGGGACAGGAATCAGAGAAAAGAGGAAGGGAGATAACCCCCCCCCCTCCGTTGTTTCTTCAAAGTAATCTACCTGGGCAGTCGGTCACATGACATAACCTGCCCATGAGATTATATCCGCTTCGAACCAAAGAGGATCCAAACTTACTCGAAAAACCAGTTTTTGCTCTACATCCTGTGCGCCACAAGTCTTGGAAACAAATGACAAACCAACTTTTGGTGTTATCGCCGAGTTGTGCCACCACCACGATCGAGCATTCCCCTTGAAGTTTTTTACCCTCTATTAGATGCGCGGAGAACTTATTCGAGCAACACCTCGCGTGGATTTGCCGTCCTCTCCACACTCATTCCCCCTCCCATCTCCCATAGAAGTAACGCACGTCTGTCGTTTGGAACACCTGCCATTCGTTCAAACACCCGTTGACGGCACGGCGCTATATTTCATATTTCTCCAGCGGTGTTACTTCGCTTCCTGAGTTGGCATCATCTGCTTACTCGCTGTCGAGTTACATCTTCTTCGACACGTTGAGGATAAGTTCTTTATCAGCAAGTTTTTCAACCACAAGGAATTTCTGCAGTTTTTGAAACGTTATTTTGTGGGATATTTAAACTACTGGATTTGAATCCTAAGAGTGATATTTGAATACTAATGGATCTGCTTCAACTATAAACCATAAACGAGTGCAAGGCCGTTGCAGATTGGGATTATTGATGCCTGTTTTCTTTGGAAGAGTGCAAGCGCACGGAAGCGGACAGTAAGATTTTGGAGCTAATAAAGTGAAAAGGTAAGCGGTCATAAATTTTTTTAATTACTAAAATTTCTGTTTTATTATTATTATTATTATTATTATTATTTGAGTTATAAACCATAAAACCATTCTTGAATAGCAAGGGATTGAGAATGTAAATATTTGGCTGTTTAAAAGCTCTCGTGTAATTCTTCATTTCATAAAAAGTTAGAAGGAGGCATTCCAGCACTGAAATACTCCAGATACTTTTTATTTTTGTTTTCGAAAATACCGTATGAAAATAATAAACACGACAATTTTTTGGTTCCTTCGAATATAAATGAAGGGCTTTTATTTTATTGAAGAAGCAATCTTTGTGAAGACTAGCTTTTCTGCCCCCCCCCCAAATCGTGATTTCAGTGCCTGGCTTAAAAGGCTCACGGTGCATCGTGTATAATGTAATAAATGTACGTAGATTCGTGCAATATATTTATTCCTAGTGTTTCTGTACATGTTCATTATATGGAACATATATAACTGTATCTATGGAATATATGTAACTTTATCTATACCTACATGTCATGTAAATTAAATGTAGTCATTTCACATGATATGTAGGTATAAACAGAATTACATATAGTTCATAGATAACAGTTATGTATGTTCCATGTACATTTAAATAATTGCTTGAAATTTCTTATGAGTGTTTATGTATATCTACAGAATTAAATTTTTCGATTTTGTATTCTAATTTATAGGAGGCTATGCGCACTAGAAGCGATTTCGACGTTTAAAAAAAATTACTCGTTCGTTAATTTTTTTCTCTAAAATTTACAAGCAGCTTTTGGGATAAGTCGAAATAATCCGAAATCACGTTGTATGCAGCAGAATTATGACAGAAGAGAACTGTAGATCCATTTTTTAATTATTATGCATCCTATGTATTTTAACATTTTATATTAAAATAAAATGTACATATACGGTTATGATTTAATACAAGGGTAGAGCCGGCTGTAGACGTTTGCCCTTTCGATGCAATTTCTCTGGCTTCTAAATTCTGCTATCTATCGTCTGCCTAAATTAAAAAAAAAAAAAAATATTGCATTCGCTATGGCGCCGGCTTTGTAAAGAGATTTTCAACCAGGTGAGACTTTCTTCCCCAAGAAGAAATCTTAGGCTAGTAGAAATCAAAATTACTCCGTTTAAAATCGTGTGACCAAAAGAGATCCGAAAAATTATGTATATGCATTTTGTAAGGCCAACAAAATAAATGGAAATATTTTAATATTTATATTTATTATTATATTAAATAATCTGAAGCATATAAATATCAAATAATCATTGATATATAATAATCCTTAAATTCATAAATGTATTTGTAGCATACCATTATAAGATGCTGTATTTCAATTTCCACTTTTACCTGCAAATGGAAATGAATGTATCATTAAATTAAGAAAAGAAAAAAAAAAATATTCTTGGAGAAGAACTTTATTGTAAAGAAGAGGGGAAGGGGATGAAACAATAAAGTTTGAGAATCATTGAATTTTATGGATTTTCGCATTCACTGCAGAAAGAAAATACTGATAGTTGTATTAATAACGAATAATGTGGTGTTTAAAGAGCAGTTTAATAAATATTAGTCGAAAATGTCGCCATTTTATATTTTTAGTGTGAGAGGAATAATAATTTTAATTGGCGAAAACAAATCGTAGCTGCCAGTTCATCTATCCGTTAAATATATAAATTTTTCATTTGAATATAAATTTGATTTCAAAAATTTAGATTTTTATAACAAATAGTAGCAAGATGCAGTGTTGGAAGGTTCATAATAAAAAGTATTTTTAATGTGTGGTAGACTAAATATGATCGTAAAGTGTATGAGTTTGATATTCGTTTCAGTCAATGTAACCATTTTTTATTAATTTCTTAATTATTTCAGCATTCTATGTATAAAATTAACGTATGTTTTAATATTAGATTTTCGAAAGGTGAGCCGAACCTGTTGATGAAGCTGAAACTGGTATAATTAGCTATTGGCGATGATTTAGTTCCATTGTAAACCATCGTTGAATAGATTTCTTACTAACAATTTGTAGCGCTTCGAAGCCTAGCGAAGGAATTTTCTTTAAAATTTCCCCCAGGAAAGCATCTCTTTCCTTAGGCCCTCGTAAGCTTTACCATATTCATATGAATAAAAAAATAATAATTTAAGATTTCAGCAGCTTTTCAAGTATGTCACGATACACAACTTTCTGTTAAGTTTATTTGTTATTTACCCAAATGCAAAAGTTTTTATTAACCACACGACATGTGTGAAAGATGGCTTCAACATTAAACAAATTTTGTCAATAAAATTGCCGTATCTTTCTTTCAGCTTCATCAACAGGTTCGGCTCACTGTAAGGATCATCATGAGAGCTATGAAACACCTAATTACTGTGGAATGGCCGTTTTTCAGTTGAAGTTGTTGAAATTTCTGGCTCACAGTTAACCTAAGAGTAAATAATTGCGGAGCCTCTTCAAATGTTTCGTGAACCAATTCAGTTTTTTTTTTCCAGTTTTTTTTTTTATTATTTATTTTTTATTTTTTTTTATATTTTTGACATAAATTTTCTACTTTCTTTATGCTCAAATCCGGTTCTGCGATGTTTTTAAGAAAAGTTCAACAGTCGCGCTTTTCTATTGAATCTTTTTTATGAAATTTCTCCAAGAACTTTTGCTATTTTGTCGCAATTTCGTGCCTTTTATCTCAATTGTTATCACAAATACTAAATTTTCTACATTCGTTACCAGCTATAAGCTAAAAAATGGAATTGCAGTAGCTGGGTGAGTGAAAGAGTTCAGATTTTAACGGATCGCCCAAAACGATTTGTTAAGGTATTTTACGCTCTCGCCGAGCTCGCAATCTACCAGTCTGCAGTTGCACTTATTCCTGCTAGCTTTATTATTAAGCTCCATTTTCTTCGCACCAACGCCATGTGGAATTCCACAGCAAAATCACGAAAAATTTAAAAAAAAAAAAAAAATCATAAAATGTTTTTCTATTTTTCTCGTATTCTTTTCTCAATTCATCATGTCAATGTTCAGTTTTCTAAGATGACTTAAAAACTTTTTTTGTGTCTTTTTATTATTAACGTTTTGTGTATTAAGTTTATTTACTGGATATTAAGTTCTTCGCACTTACGTCGCATAAACTTCAGTTCAACAGTAAAATCACAAAATATTTAAAAACAGAATATCGGTGAAATTTCCGATAGACAGTCTCGTGCACTGGAGATAAAAAAATATTTTATTCCGCTGCCGAAATTCCTACTTTTTCTGCCGAAATATTCCATTGCTCGCTTTTAAATCGTTGAGTTTTACAAAATATGAAATATAAATTCAGAAATTCAAAATTCCGGCTTTCAGGTGTTCGGTTAGAGGACAACGTTATTCAAAATTTAATGGCCTTGTTTTTTTTTTTTTTTTTTTTTTTTAAATACAATTTTAGGAACATACATGTATACATACATGCAGATTCTACACTGCATACTTTCTTTAAAGATAATACAGGGCGATAGCGTTTGGTGGCAACAATCTGAAAAGTGATTCGTCTTTTATAGTGAACGACGCAAAATCCCGTTTCGAAACTAATATCCCATACGGGCTAAAAAGAAGAAAGAAAGAAAGGGGTGGGGAAAGTGAAACTAAATATCATTTTCGGCATCTGTTTAAGTTTCATTAGAATCAGACATTAAACATAATACAGTATACAGAAAAAATGACGATAGTTTAATTGACTATAACATGGGGAAGACTATCTGCCGAAAAGGAGATGAGGTGACTTTCTGGAGGACTTCAGAAAGGAAACCAGCTCTGATTCAATTGCGCCCGCAGCGGATCGTTCCTCAGAATTCGAATCCAATTTGAACTATCAACGGTCTTGTCCCTTTGTTATTGGCGGCCACAATCTAGTATGGAATTGACGCATAATCTTATGCGTGCTGTCGTAATGTAAGTGGTAGTAGGTCCAGCTAGCAAATGAATACATGATTCGAATTCCAGCAAAAGCATAACAGATTTATATTGTTTTCTGCTCCGAAAAGCATCCGAACTTAAATGTGGTGAACGATGATATTCAACCACTTAGATTTTGTCGAATTAGTTCTGTTTCTGCTATTCCTTTTTCCGCTTTTTTCAAAATTCTTCCTGTTCCCGCGAAATCGGAGAGTACAGTCCCCCTCCCACAGCTCCTCAGTCACGATGAGTAATATTTTTCGATTATTTCTTTTAAAAATTCTTTTTAAATCTAAAAATTTTTTGCCTTCCTACATTTCGGGAGAGACCAAGGCCCACTTGACCCCCCCACTATGTAACCCCTTTCAGAAGGGGGATAATGAAGATTGATGATTTCGCGGAAACAGGAACGTTTTTGACAACCTCGGAAACAGGAAGACACCGATTTTGCCGACTAGGTCTCTATCTCTTCCCAGTCACCTTTTTAAATGGAAGTGAACATAGGGAATTATCACATCCCTCCATGCATACTATCGCGATGTAAGTGGTAATATGTCGAGCTAATAGTTAAAAGATCCATGGTTAGACTCCCTTCGAGGGCATAGTTGTTTTATTAGGTATCGTCCTTTTCCGGAAAAAAAAAAAAAAAAAAAAAAGCAAGAAAGAAAGAAAGAAAGAAAGAAAACACCTTAAGTCTGCATGTTTATACCTGAATTTTGAGACTTTGTAAAAACTAGTGCATTATCCTAAAAGTAACATTCTCTTAAATCTTGCTCAATATTATTAAATTCGCACAACCACATGAACCTCGCGCGAGCCACGAAACAACCAGGCTTTGTTATAATTATTAAAAATTCATGGATGTTTCTAATAGTATTGCAGGTTAGTATGTTTAATAGTTAGTTATGATAATAATTCTTTGAAAATAGAGCTGAAATTGGGATGCTTGATGACATGTGCTAATATAATTCACTGCATACCTGCATACAAAATTTCGAATCGCTTCTTTAACTAGTATTTACCATTTTCTATGATATCGAGGGGCAGCTTTGCTTTTAT